ATATTTAACTTTATAATGCTATAACTTATTGAAAAGTTTATGGATCCACACAATTTTTTTATGAGAAATAATATTTTTTAATAAACCCTTTTTCATTCGACATACTTTATCTTAATCGAGATATTAATAAGGAACCAGCAGATCAAGTAGCTTTTGGAATAAAACACCAATTTTTTTTAAATTAAACACTATCTAAAGATTTGCATCGAAGCGTTTATTTTTGATAGTGATTTTAATCACTGTCAGATATCATTATACTTGATCCAACTATACCACGTCATAACTGTGCCGCGACCCCCCTGTGCTGGGTTTTTTTTTTTTTATTTGAATAAGCAAAATAAAAGGCCTTCAACTCTATAATTTATATCGTTTCATATTTTATTGCCACCTAGGGTAAGTGCTCAGTACCCTCCCTTAATACGCGGTTCTGATGCCTATTTAGCAAATAGATTTCAATTATAAAAATTATTTGATACTTATACACTGTTATGTAATAATTATCTACGTATAAAAGATAAAAAAAAATTATTTTGTCATTACATAAAAATCAATTTACTTTAGAATTAGAGTCTAGCCACTACGAGTATAAATACAATTAAAAGATATAGGGTAACTTGGCCTCCCTAGAAATGATTTAGTGCTACTAAAAATAAATAAAAATTACAAACGTACAGTAACGAGCAAAAGTGAACACAATTTCCAAAATTTTTGGAAAATTGGCATTTTGAAAACTAAATATAAATTCAATTTAATACATTTTTGAATCAACATTTTAGGGATTAAAACAAAAGTTTACGCACAAAAAATAATTTAGAAAAAGATAAAAGGCCTAAGAGTTCATTTACTTAAAAATACTCACTTATGCACCTGCTATTAAAACAATATAGAAACGCAAAGCGGAGTGCGTGTCTTTGACTTGTTATTGTTGGAGCGTCTGGAGAAAAGAGAATTTTCACTCTTGATTTGTTTACATTTCTTTCTATTACAAAGAAAATATGAAACTTCTATTTTAATCAGTATGAACCATTCTTTCATAGTGAAAGGAACCAACAAGAAAATTACTCCTCAAAAAATGACACAAATTGTTTCGATGCTAAAATCGGGTCAATCAACCAGAGAAGTGGCTCGACAGTGTGGCGTCAGTCAAGCGGCAATGCAAAAAATAAAAAATAAAGGTTGTCCTAACGCTTCACTCCGACTAAAGGAAAACCTAAGTATACTACCCCATAAGATTGACGAAGATTTGCTCACTTTTTACAAGCAGGAGAAGCATCTTCATCTTCAATAGCAACCAATCTATTGCAACAACACATGAGGAAAAAAGTGAGCAAGTGGACAGCTTGAGAGTTCTCAAGGAACAAAATTTTGTGTGTGCCAAAAAAAAGAAAAAAACCGCAATTTCCAAAAAAAATATGAAGGCCAGGCTAAAGTTGGCTAAATATCATAAACACTGGACAGAACAAGACTAGAGGAGGATAATATGGTCGGATGAAACCAAAATTAATATATACTGCTCTGATGGAAGGTCCTGGTTCTGGAAAAAGACTAGCGAAAGCCTCAAACCTTCCTATGTCAAGCAGACGATCAAGCATGGTAGAGGATCTGTCATGCTATGGGGCTGTTTTACTGCGTATGGACCTGGATCCATTCATAAAATTATATTTACTATGGAGCAATATATGTATAAAAATATTCTATCAAGAAATTTGTCAGGTGTGGTTGCAAAAATACCAAACGATGAAGTCATTTTCCAACAGGATAATGACCCCAAGCATACGGCAAAATCCGTCAAACAATGGCTTTCCAATCAACAATTTAAAACTAGGGACTGGCCAGCTCAAAGTCCTGACCTGAACCCAATAGAGAATTTTTGGGTATATTTAAAAGGAAAATTGTATAGTAAATATCACGGCCCACCTACTTCACTCAACAATTTGTGGGAAAGAATTAGAGAATGAGCAAAAATTTATGTAAACTACTGCGAGTCATTGGTCAACAGCATGCCACGAAGGATGGAAGCAGTGATAAAGACTAAAGGCTTGTAGACAAAATATTAATGCCGGAATATATCTATAATAAATACCGGTGCAAAAGTGAGTACTTTTAAAAATTTGTTATCTAGTAACTCGCTGCTTAATGTATGTATTTTTTCATCTAATACGCTTAAATTTTGTTTTCTAAATACATATACATTTTTAAATAATTTAAAACGTATGTGTTATTATTTTATAACCCTTTTTCTCAGAATTTTCTCATTAGTGTTCACTTTTGCTCGTCAATGTATATTTTTATATACATTTTTTGAAAACAGAGAACTTTAATGTACTCTTATTTTTTTAAACATTTTTTTCTGTCACCTATGATTAAAACGCTCTTAAAACAAAAGCCTCTTTCCGCTTCTCAAATGGCTCTCCTGTTATGATACATATCATAAATACTAGTAAAAGATAGTAACCTTAATGAAGTTTTAATTATGATGATTTTAAAATCTCAAATATTTTGCATAAGGCGTATAGAGTATATAAACACAACTTCGACTTATTCAGATACACTAATGACGTATGAAAATATAAACAAATCGAATAATCAAATTGAAAAAATCTTATGACACTAACATTAATCACTATGCGATGATATAATCATTAAGTTATCTATTTATTTTTTTTATTGATAAGCTTTAATTATTTAATGTTTTGTTTTGTCAAACAATACTATTGATATTAAAATATTAAGAAAAATAATAGTCATGACAAAATAAAAAGCTAATAAAAAAAAATTATTTATTATCTATATCAACATTTAAGATTAAATTTTGTTAAGATAAATTAAATCTCTTTATTTTATAATATGCATTTTAAAAATTAAAATATTAGCTATGTATAATAAACGTCCTTAAGAAGGTTAAGACGGCTATCGGAACACTAAACCGGTGATCTGTAGTATACTTCTCAGTGATTCACAAACACTGTGGTGAGCATGATGAACGTATGTTAGTATTAATTTAAAGCTCCTGTATCGTGAATTATTTTATCCGTTAAAAAAATCAGTGCTATCATTTAAAAATTATAGGTATAACCAAGAAGTTTTACTTTACTATAAATTGGAGCATTTCAATAATTAAGATTTACTCTTATTAAAAACACAAGGATTGGATAGGGTAAGTTCAACAAAAAAATCAATAAGTATATCGATTTTTATCCATATCATATTTTTATCCATATATAATATCCTATAACACATTTTTTTTTAAATATTTTTAAATATTTTTTTAAAAAATTTTTTACTTTACTTAATATTTTTATAATTCTATGAGAATTTTTTATTGTAGAAATTATTGTCATAAGATGACATACTATTAAGTTTTAATTAAAATTTTAATTATTCAATACATATTAAAATGAACTTTAAAAAAATTGTATTCAAAATAGAATTTTATATAACACATTTAGATTTTATATGTTAAAAATTATTTAAATATAATAAATGCATAAAAAATTGGTAATATATTTAAGAAAATTTTTTTTTTTTTTAATATTAAAATCTTAACTAATATAACCAAATAATATTTTATTATTATAAATTGTAATAGTTTTTTTATTATGCCAAATAAATAACATTTTTAATACTCCTCTATTGTTATCTACGAGTAAAAATGTTTTAATATAATTTTAGTAACTTTATTACATTGAATACTTTCAACAAAGGTATAAATAAGAACCCTGATCTTTCTCTAAATTGTTTTAAAAAGTGTTCAAAGAATATTATTATTATGAACACAAGATAATTTCTGTGTAAATTCTATAAAACATTAATATAAATTTATAAGATGCTTTTTTTGACAAAAATGTCATGTTAAAAATTTCAAGCCATATTGTATAGGCTTAAACAACATACACGTAAATGGGCTTCTTTCGAAAAAAATTTTCATAAAACCCCAAAATTAATCAAATTTGGCGCGAGAAAAATATCACTTTAGCCCTCTCATTTTTTTATAAATTTACGCTTATGACATATTGTCTGAGGATTGGATTAAGGTATGTTAACCTCCCCTTAATCAAATTGTAAGCATTTAATTAGATATATCACGAGGACAATGATTGCTCTTGTCGCCCCCAAATTTGCTACTGCTTTATTTTAATATGTATAATGATGTACTCAAAAATTATTTAAAGTAAATAACTACCAAAATCAATTTTTATTTATAGAAACAATACACCACAGATGTTATTTGTACCCAAAAACCAAAATTTTACCTAAAAGCACATTTCACCTTATTGTAAAAATATTCGTTATTCTATGTGATATAAGAATTTTAACAATACAAAAATTTTTTTTTTATTTAAATTTAAATAATTTTGTATATGTATATAAAATATTTTAAAAAATTTTTTAAATCCTTTACAATGTTATGGGAAATAAGTCATAAACATATATATTTTAAGAAATTACGTAATTTGTCTTGTATACGAAATTTTAGTTTTACCAAACTTCATTTGATTATCACTTGAAATAAGTGATTAATGATTATAATTAGAAATTATTCGAATTTATAAATTTTATTTGAGTTAGCTTGAAGGATTCTGTGTTTGTGCAATTTTGTCATAATTATAATATATTATAGTAGCGTAGAAATATTTGTTGTTTTAAAGAGTTAGATAATCCTATTCCCTTTTAAAACTATAACTGTAGTAACAACACTTTATTAGGTTTTCAATTTAAATTAATAAAAACTTGTACTAGATGATGGTATGTTCAGAATAATTTAATAAATTTTATAAATGCATAAAATGTTTAACCCTAGTTATGATAATTTCATTAATTGTGTACCACGTAAAATATCAGAAAAAATTAACTTAGAGGAGAGTGTTGTACTTTGGTCTTAAAAGTAAGAAAAGTCCTAAAATTATGCAAAAAATTCAAAATCGAGATTGCATTATACAATCACAAGTTTGATTATTTTTTGCATAATTGTGGGAGTAATTCAAATAACACCAATATACAACAAGGTTCAAGATAAATCTTGAAAATATACTTGTTCCCTTGAAGACACAAATTTTATTCTATTAAGCATTATTTTAATTTATAAATAATTAAATAGAAAAAAAATTAATCGCGACTGCAAAAAGTTTATTGAAAAGTGCGTAAACTTATCTGATCTCGCCTATTACCTATAAAAAACATATATAACTCATTCTGTTAAGTGTATAAATGTTTTCAAGCAAATTTTCAATATTCCATTTTGAATATGGATTATTGAAAATGAAAGATTATTTAATAATAAAATATTGTGTTGTTCAGTTTAGTTCGAACATCTAACCGAACTTCTTCCTTGTCGATTCGAAAATCGAAATAGTATAATCAAACACCAGTCTAAATTTCATAAACAATGTTTTGCCTAAAAATTATTAAAATTAATGTTAGGTTAAATTTCGGTTCAACCCCAAAACTCAAGGTTTGTAACATCACTGTTATAAATAAAAGTGTTCAACCTGAATTTTATTACACAACCCTCTTATAAAGATTATAATATTATATTATGTGTATATAAGCACTGTATGATTTGGTTAAAAAAAAGTTGAATATTATTTAAAAAAAAAAATTCTATAGTAAAAATTACTCTTTTACACGTATCTTATACATATAAATGTGTTCAGTGAGATTAAAATTTATTCATAGAAATCATCAAAACATAGTTACTCAATAACGTAGTATTTAACCTTGGAATCGTTTTGATATTCCCTAGCTCTCATAGGACAATGATTTTGTTTTGTTAAAAAAGTGAAACCGGTTCTTTCCACTTTATGACCACCACTAATCTTTGCGAATATCATACTTGATAACAGAAAAATTGTTAAGAAACTGAACAAATAAAATCATAACATAACATTATTGAAAAAAACTGTAAATTCAATTGATTATACATTTTTTGTTTTATAAAATGTACCTTCAAGTAACGACAGTTCGCAATTCTACTTTGTAATAACCGACAAGGACACGAATTTGCCTCATAATAGACCATGTTTAAAAATAAATAGTACCCATACTTGATTTTAATTTTATAACTACGCATTTACGTGATCAGACTTAAACTCGTTAATATAAATATGATTGTGTCACTCAACAATTGATATTTCGATCACGATAATAGTTTAAAAACTTTCATGGTCGTTTTATTTCTTATTAGCACGTATGGAGTATATATCCTAATACAAAAAATACACTAGACAATAAATATATAAATCTTCCGTGTTTATCAATAATAATATTAAATTTAAATTTAAATTTAGCTCAACTTTTTTAATGAACTCAAGTTTTTAAGCTAAAAATCAATTGATAGAAATAAGTAATCTACATAATAATATGTTCATTAAACAATTTAAATTATTGATTTTTCATTAGTCTCCAAATATAAAATTACATTTGGATTTTTATGAATAGTCATAACTAAATTATAGGTAGTCTATAAAGGCAAGCCCTTAAAAACGTATTACTAGGACTAAGAAAATTATGTACCAAAAACCTACACTTAGTACATTAGAAAGTCATTAAGAATGTTTTTAAAAAGGATTTATAACACCAAAATGCTTTAAACATTTTTTTTTTAATTATAAAACTTAAAAAACATTATACTAACTTAATAATATTCAAAAGTTTAAAAAATATTAATTCTAAGAACACATAAATCTTATATCTATAATAAATAGTTAATATTTAATATGTTTCATTATATTGCACAAGAGATCTTGAAACAAATTGGCAACCGTTAATTAAAAATAACACTTAAATAATATCAACAACTTTTATTTCATTTTTAATTATTTATAATCATAAAAAAACAAATTGTACTTTTAAACACTTTCAACCCCTCAAAAATAGATTTATTTTCGATTGGATTCGGTTACAATCGTGTCGATTACATAATTTGTAATTAGTCTTTAAGAAACATAAATGGGTAAAAACAATTTAAATTCAGCAAAGTGGAATTGAGTCAATTTTTTAAATAAGTATTAATCAATATCTGACTGCGATAAAATTATTGTAAAACACTTTGATGCGCATTTGAAACTAATCAAAAGGAAAATTTTTTTCCGATATTACATGATTTTTTAACTGGGATATTGATTACAAGAGTAACCAAACCTAACCTAACGTTTTTTTTAATCATATATAAAATTAAACAAACTTAATTTATAACATTTTATGAATATTGCTCTGCAAAAAACTACAAAACCAACCATTGTTATCATGATTTCTATGGTTTTTGGCTACAATACACGACATTACCTAGAAATACAAATTTCAGATTATTCTCTTACGCCATTAAGTAAATTGTATTATCTTTAATTTGACGTAAATTTTTAAAAAATAGATTTTTTTTTATCATCAAAATTTTAAATCAAAAAAGTTTGATATCATTTTTAACCACCAAAGTACCTATAATAATGGATGGATATTCAAAAAGTGTTTTTTCGACAAAACAAATGTCTGAAATATTATATTGAAAATTTCCTAATAATTCGGTCAGTTTCTAAAATAAATATTATTTAAATAAATAGTGATGACTAATAATATCAAAATTGACCGTTCGTTATATAGCAACTATAACTTTTTGGGAATTTTTCAAAGTTATTGCGCTGTTAGCTTCAACTAAATTTATTTTGTGATCGTTTAGCAAAATCAGTTCAATAGGACTGTGATCAAATGAAAGGATAGCTACGTATCGAAGCTAAAATTAATCAAATGACTGTTATTTCATTTGTAATTATTCTTAATTTCTAAAGTATTAGAAATGCTCGTAAAACTTACAAAACGACTAAAAAACTTTTGGCAGCATAAAGAAAAAATGATTGTTTATTCATGTTTTAAAATAAGATTTGTAGTCACTAACATAAATTGAAAAATAAATAGGTTCAGTAAGTAAATAAACGCATTTCTATTGTTACGATTTCTAAATTTTAATTTGTAATTTAATAAATTATTCTTCATAAATGTTTGACTTTAAATTACCTATAAATTGAACTATAGTTTCCAAAGATAAGGTAATGTTTTTTATTTATTATAAAAATAAAAACCGTAGCATAGTGGGGTCGCGGCACAGTATGGACGTGATATAGTTGAAACAAGTATAGATGATATCTCAAAGTGATTAATATCACTATCCATGACAAAATAGATAGGTATGTCAGCAACTTTGTGATACGCAATCCACTCTTCACCCCATCAATAGCTGGTTCGCCTCATTTCATTGGCCGAATATTTGTATGGTCATTTTCCATAAATATAGTGATATTATTATAATTTATGCGTTAATATTTAATATTGTGCAAAAATAATTTGTAGCGTATAGAGGAATAATGAAAAATTATGTATGTAATATATTTAATATTTAAAAGTGCTTTCATTGCATTAAATGATATATAATTTGCTTCACATTAATGTTACTTTTTTTTTTTATAAAGCCAAGAGGTTGGTTTGTCAGCACAGTATCCTAAGGCGAACTGGCCTAATGTTATTTGGTAATTTAATTTTACTTATTACATACATTTATTTATTAAGTAAATTTTTGTTTTTTAAATTTAAGTAAAAGTATGTAAGTATATCAAGTTTTCAAAATATTTTAAGACACTTAAAATAAACGCTGTTCATTTTATTTAATATACCCGGCATAATCATTTCATATCAAATAATTTGCAAATTGATCATATTTGTTTATATTGTAGTATAAATAGATATCACAATAGATTGATATCAATCAATAATAGTAAAAGGTAAAGGTATCATAAAAAACAATACAAAATATTAAAGTTGCTGTTAAGTATTTGATTTAAAGAATTGTATTTTGGCGGGCAAACCTACGGCCAATGAAATGAGGCGAACCACTACTATGGGTGAGAAGGGCGGGATGCGTCAAACGGTCCAAAACTAATTTGTTGCTGACATACCTATCTATTTTGTCATGTCACTATCATAAGACATAGATTGATGCAAATCTGTAAATAGAGTATAATTTTAAGAAATTGGTGGATTATTTCAAAAGTAACATTAACTCCTATTTCCTTAATTAAATACTGATTAGTAGTTCTTTAGTTTATAAGTTGAAGAATACTTATGCCCATATGAATAGTCATTTTATGGATCCACAGTACTTATGTATTAGTAATTTAAGGAATTGGTTGGGTATGGTTAAATCTAATACAAATAGAATTTTCATCTAATCTGTGGTATCGACGTAAGATAATACTGATAGTTATTGAAAATATAAACGATATAACATAATGACGTTTTAAAAACAATTTTACTTCCATAATTATGGTACACATAAATTCTGACTATACAAGGTAAAAACTTAAATAACCCATAAGTTCTTTATGAGTAAGATAAATAATTTATAAATTACATTACCATTTAACACATAAGCTTTATTATGTAGCACATTAGATCAGAATTATACAGATTATCGTCTTTAATTTTTAAGATTATCATTAATTAATAAAAAAAGAATATTTTCATAAAAAAATAAATAAATAACCAAAAAAATCTAAGTTATAATGAAATTCAACAACACAGCCGACAAAATCATAGGTGAATTAAGCCAGGAATAATTCTGAATACTATTATATTATAGAATATACTTATACGATACAACTATACAGGATTTAGTTCTAAATATTTCAGTTGTAGCATCTATTTAAACACCAATAGTTTTATACAAATTATTATGATTTTTATTTAAATATTATAATATTTCTTCTCGGGGGTGCTAATGTTATCCCAAAAGTGCTAGAAGTCAAAGCACCCCTTTCTTTTGCCTATGGTTATATGAAAACAAATAATAATTAACTTTATACATTTAGCAAGTAAATTTAAAAACATATATGTATGCAAACATTCTTACGAGTCCGTCTTTTCCAATTAATGAGGTAAGAATAGTCTTAAAATATTCATTTAAAAGGCATTTAAAAATACTCTTAGCATACAAACATCTATTGCCATGAATTAGAATACTATTTTTATCACTATTATCTACTATATTTTCGGTGGCGTATATGCAGGCAATATAGGCAACTGCTTATAGCGACATATTTTATTTTATAAGGGGCGGCAAATATTGAAGGCCAACAAATTTATATTTTTTTGTCGTTAAAACATATTGACTTCCTAATAATTATCATAATCGTTTTCATTAATAGTGTATTTACGATATGTATATTAATATATTTCCTTGAAAAATATTTTGAAATACTTTTTTTTTTTTTTGAGGGAGATTTAGTAGTGTTATGCCAAAAATATATATAAATGAGTCCCCTCCGTCATAACGTAATGAAGAGCGACAAATTTTTAAATACCTATAGGTAGAAAATATGTAAATACGCCTCTGTATATTTTATGAAAATGAAAGGGAAGTATTTTATTAGATGACGTTGAAAAAAGACGATAAAATTATATGTTACACTCATAGTTAGACCTTTTTTCTTAAGCCCAACCGTTAAGAATTATTTATTTATACATTTACAGAAATCTTTAAAATACCAGACGTAATGATACCAGAGAAGTGTAATGCCACTCAATGGAAATATGGTGGCCAAATACTTGGTCATGGTTTCACAGGTTATCGCCTGGTGCATGGTAAGTGTGATGCTGTTACGAAAAGGTTTTAGCCAAGTACAAGAATCAACCCATATTCAAAACCATAACAGTAGCGAAGTAGGTAACTCGACAATACCCAAAAATCCAGAGGTTCAGTCATTTGATAATAGTGGCACAACTGCAATTGTGGCTGGCGTAGTAATGATTGCCATTGCTCTAATAATGCTTATCATAAGTCCGACAATTATGTTTATGAAAATGATGGAAAAGAGAAAAGAGAATATACATAACAATGTAAGATTAATTTATATGTAAGATAAACTTGTTATTGGATTTAATTGAATCAGTGACGTATCCAAGGGATGGAAATAAAAAAATAGATTAACTTTCCATTGATATTCAGTACATTAATATGTTTACCATGTTTTAGTTTAACACATCAATAGTTATAATAGTTAAAATTAAGAATTTGAAAGTTCGATATTAATTTTTATTATTTTTGAACAAAAAATTTAATGTTTTATTATTAAAATTATTTTGAATAATTTTAATTATTATACAGATATTGGAATCACCGCCTAAGTATGAAGATGTAGTAGAATGTGCCCCAAGGTATTCATCTTTATTTGTTTTTAATAGTACAGGAGATATAATTTTGCTGTCTAGTGGTAAAGTTGTACAAAAGACAAGTACATTGAACCACGACATATCCACAATAGATGTTCACAAGTCATCAGATGATATTTAAAATTATAGGATTATTATTTATTATTTATTGTAAGATTTAGATTTAATTATTTGTATGTTTATTATTATACATTTTGTACCATAAGTTATATGAAGTTTCACATTTTACAAACAAAACTCTGATATGAAATAATTTCAAAATTAACTAAAATTTTACTTTTAACTTAAATTCAAACATAATAGTAATAATATAAATCTAAATTTGTAAAGTAAAACTATGATCAATTTTCACTATATCATTAACTTACTAATATTAATAAAATTACTTTTTTTAATGTTTCAAATTTTTGTGACACATGAAAATTGTACCAGAAATTTTTAGTTTTATTATAACCTAATAATGCTATCTTATTATTATAAAACCTTAGTACACAGACACCAAGGTTCTCTTCTGTAATACTGAGCTATGTAAGTTTTTCCATCTTTTTAGTACAAATAACTTTTAAAAGAAGATTTCAGACATAAATAGATATATAAAAATTAATATATTTTGTAATTTATAAAATACATTGTAGGAGGGTACAAATATGTACCTCTAGGTAGAACTATAGTATACAATATTTTTACTCTTTTTTCAGCAAGAAAAATATATGAACAAATACTTAACAAATATTAGGAAACCATAAATTAGCAAAATAGTCAATAAAAAAACTATTTTATTTATAGTTTTCTTTTTTAATATAAAATTAAAACACATTGTCAATGACATATTGAAAACAATTATTCATTCAGTTATAATTTAAAAATTAAAAATATTGATATTATTAAATTGTCTATTTTGGCATATATATATATTGTAATAATTAATTAAAAAAGTTGAAAACTAAATAAATTAGCAGTTATAATAATCAGTAAATGAATTTAAATTATAAGGAATAATATCAATAAAATATATCACACATGTAACCGATTTGAAACTATGGGTTTGTTTTTCAACAAATATATTGTATGGTCTTTAAAATATTCTTCTATTTGGCAGAGTTTTGTGTTATGAGTTTCAGGTACAAATATCCAAATAAATAAAACTGTCAAAAAAGATATACCACTGTAACACCATAATGTACCAAACATGCCTAAATTACTTAGGAGATAGCTATAAGAATGTACAGAACTAAACATAACAAAGTTGCACCACCCCATTAAAGGACCCAAAAACAAGCCTTTAACTTCAGTTGGTAGCATTTCACTAGGCATCATCCATGGAATTAGCATTAATCCTACTGAACCAGCTGAAATATACAATATCATACATAATAAAGGTGTCCAAATAATTGCAACATTGGCAATACCTAAAAAATGAAAATTTTTAATTTCTTATAAATATTTGGCTATAGTTTTTTATTTATAATTATACCATTAGCCCTAAGTTTAACACAAATTCCTGCAACTAATAAAGAATATCCCATAGTTATTCCAGTACTGATACACAAAGGACGACGACCATAATTGTGTAGAATGCCCGTTGCAATTATGCTCAAAATCAGTCTTGCTACTCCAAATAGTATTGTTGCTATTTTTTTATCTATTCCTTTGGCTATATCCTTATATAAATATAAATTAAAAAAACATTAGTAAAATTTAAGCCATAATTCTTCTAAATATCATTTCAATTACTTTAAAAATGTCAACAATATAAAATTGAATAGTGTAAATTCCAGTATATTGTTGTAATAAAAAAAACAAAGCCATAATTATAATTGGCTTATAACAAATGGGCTGAGACATATGCCACAATATTCTTCTGATTCCACTACTTTCTTCAACATTACGACAAAGCATTAAATCCTTTTTTTGTTTTATTTGTATTAATTCTTCTAATTTGTCTTTACCAGCATTGACCTTAGAAACATTTTTTTTAATTACATACTTATATTTATATATTTATTTTCTCATTATTTTATAACTATAATAAAATAGAAAACTCACGTTCTTAGAATTTGAAGAAAAATATTGCAAAGATTTCAATGCTTTATTGTTTTTACCATTACAAACTAGCCACATCGGACTTTCGGGTGTCCATAAAGTTGTCATGAAAACAGGCACAATTGCGCTAAAGAAAGCCATCCAAGCAAGAACTCTCCAATGAAAAAACATGCCAACAGTATACATAAAGACTATTCCTTTAAAATTATTTAAAAAAATAGTTAACAAAAATTTAAATACATAATTTAACTCAAAAATAAAAATAAATTGATAAAACGTTTAATATTAGACAATATGATTTTTACTTAATTATATTAGTATAGAAATAATAAAACCTATATGTTTATCCAGTCTTCCCTTGATATGATAAAACCTAGTAACTAGTAATTAAATTTTAGTATAGTTTCAACATTTATGATTTAAATGTAGTGCATTAACATTTGATCTAATACATTTTTGTTCTAATTATTTCACTACCAACAAACTAGAGTTTTAGCATTTGTTGCTATACAGAGTGATTCACTTATCATGAACCCCTTAAATAATTAAAAAATAAAAATAACATCAATAATTTTTCTATTGGTCTATTTTAGTCGAATGTTTCTCTCAATTTATCAATCATGAAGTATTTTTTATATTCATTTTTTTTATCTTTTAAAAGTGTCAACTATAATTTCTTAAATGGCAAATATCTATAATAGATAATGATCTAATTAAGAAAATTAATGGTCGATAACAACTTTTGAACCAATATTTCAGAAATGATTAACAGTTTAAAGTAAAAACTAGTGATGAAGAGTGGGTGCTGCTATTTTTATACTTCCTGACTGTATTTTTCCTCCATCCTAGGTATGTACTTATCAATAACTTCAAACAACTTGGGTTCAACTTAACCTTTTAAGTTGAAAATCAAGTAATTTTTTGTGGATAATTTCATTTAAATTTTTTTCAAATGCATCAAAAAGTTATACAAAAAGTTTAGATATTCTATTTTGTTTGATCCTGACTTGTTGTAGCCCTTAAAATATTTTTCCATAAGTGTTTATTGATCCAACCAATTTTTTCTATAAGAAAACTTTAAAAAATATCTAGCTATCTAAAACTTGAAAAGCTTTTAAAATCATTTTTTTTTTTTCACAATTTAAATAATAAATGTATAATTCTAATATTAATGTGATAACTTTATCATGTTTACATACCGAATGACGACATTACTGACCCAATAGACATCATGGAACCTCTAAGCTTAGGATTTGTAATTTCTGCCATATAAACATTTGCTGAATTAGTACCAACAGCTATAAAGTTATAGTAATATTTATATAATTTTTTTTTTTTATCAAATTTTAAAAATTTGTCCTACACATAGAAAATCCAGTTAGTATTCTACCAATTATAACCGTGAAACTATTTTGAGCAATGGCTATTAATAACCAACCAATAAAACAAGGCCATAATGACAACTTGAATGTACGTATTCTACCAATTTTATCTAGTGAATATGCAATAAATAAACATCCAATAGAAGTTGCTATTGAAGCACTACTAGCTGAAAGAAAACATTATATTTCACTTATTTACAAATCAACAAAGATAAGTTAAGACTTAAAAACATTGTGTAAAATAGGGTTTACTATATAAGAATTTGAACAAATTTATAGCTGATTACTAAAGACAAAAAATTGTTTATAATAGAAAAATATTAAGTGGTTTTAATTAATTTTAAAAATGAAAAAAAAATATTAATTAACAAAACTTTATAAGTTAATATAGTCTAAATTTATCATGAAAGGATGATATATTTTCAGAAAGTCCACCTTTATGAATTCCTAGATGTAAAAATACTATACCAGACAAAATTGATTTACTTGAAATAATTCTCAAGTATTCAAATTTATAATTTAAGTATAAGTGTATTTTGATAATCCAGCACTACAATTATGTGGTATATCCAGTAATCTGACATTATTTTGGTGATTATCAGAAATTGTCTCACTAATAAAATTATGTATAAGCACAAATTCAGAGGGTACAAGAGAATGAAATCTACTTTAAGACACCCTTTTCCAATCAAAAATCTTATTGACTACCTGATTATGCAATCTGTTAACAGTAAATTAAAATATGGGATGCAAATAATTTTTATATTGCATTTTTTTACTGACTAACAATTAAAACAAATTTTAATGCTTACAATATTTTTACTGATTCTTAAAGATGTATACACAAAAAATATAAATATATTATATTACAACCACTGATAAATGGTATTTTTGATAGTTCAGCAATACTCTAGTCTTATATACTAAGTCTTATTTTTAATATTCACTTTTAATAAAAATATAACAAAGATAATTCAAAGAAAGGAATTTACATTGAAGTGTTTTCTATATGTGCTAGTTGAAATATGATAATTGATCAAATTATTAGATTTACTACATTAATTTATTCAAAAAAACTAAAGGAACAAATTAAATTATAAATTTTTGTTTTCTTTTTTAAAACAATTTCAAGAAATAACCTTCTTTACCATAAATATATTTATATTACCAATCCATGTTATATCTGATTTATTAAGGTTGTCCAATTCAATAGAATTTTCAAGTTGTGATGTTATAATAGCAGAGAACCCAACAGTAAATCCTGTGTGTAAATTGGTAGTTGATACAGAGATACAAGCAAGTAACTAAAATAAAATAAATATATTTCAATATTTTTTGTGATTAAAATTAATTTCTCACCTCAGCCCAATTAAATGATTCTTTTTGATTGTTAGCTATTTGTTTATTTTCCAATGGCTCAGTATCAAATTTTATACTAAAAAGATTAAAAATTATAACTTAAACAAATATATGAAATTAAATTAAAGTGATAAAAAATTACTCATACTTTTGATTTAGTTCCATACTTAAGGTTATTCATTTGTATTACTACGAAAAAAAAACATATTTTATTAGAAACTATTTATGGTTTTTTTGAAAGCCAATATCAATTCATTCCTTACAAAAGTACTGAAATATTTTTTTAATTTTAAAATTTTGTGAAAAAATATAGCGTTATTTAATCAAAAAGCATTTGTATGATTCAGTAAAAAATGATAATTTCTAAGTATACAATATTTACAGATTTATAAAATAAAGTGGTAAAATTTGTTGGGAAAAAATATCAATGCATAGATATTTATTTATAAATGATTAGTAAATAAATAAACATCAAAAATAAAATGATTAATTTTAATTATAACTATAAAACAAAAAACTAACCTGATAAATTTTATTAATATTATTAATTTTTTTTTAATTCAAAATAATAGTAACTATATAATACACTTAAATAGGTTATTTTTTAAATGCAATTTAGTCAATAAAAAAATGATAAAACTTAATCCATGCTATTAAAACAACTGTATTATGAAATAAATCTACATTTATTTAACAATGCAAGCTATTATTCATTGTAAGAACTCCATCTTAATTGTCAGAAAAACACAACTGTTGTGTAGAGCTTCTAATATCTTAAAAACATTTTAAAGGTTTGATACTGCTTATAGTGTCAACTGATAACTGTACCAATTAATATTATATACAATTGATATTACATTGCATTATATTTTCTAATTAGGGCTGGCTAAAGGTCTTTAGACGCTCCGAGCAAAATCATAAATGCCACATTTTAAATGTTTTGATAACCTTTTAGCTTCGACGAGAAGCTGAGAATCTATTAATTTTATTATATGTCAATTTATTTCTTTTTTTATGCCTGTCGTCACTTTTTCTCAGCTCTCACTGGACCGTTTCTAGTTAACAATATGCCAAATAACTAATAAAGGACAAAATAATCTAAACTTTTTATTCTGTGAGTCATTTGTATTAACTACAATAGTAGATTATTAAATATCAATTTTTTACTAATTAATTTTTTTAAGTAATTTATTTATTAGAGATCTTAAATATGTTTTTAAAAATAATGTAATTGAGGTAGTTAACTTGTGTTTAATTAATGAACGACACGTTTTAGATTTTAAACAATAATTGTATTTTAAAGTATTTACAAGATAAGTAAAGATACAGTAAGTATATCAAGAATTCTAAAAACAAAAGGCAGAAATGTCGAAGTAGCCTTCTCTTTAGAAGTCAGCGTAATGTGGTAAAGATGATTGAATTATTAATCAAGCCAGCAGCAACGTGATCGGTGTATGTTGCTCGTATTGTGCGACCTGTCGGACGTAAAAAGGAAGCGCCGCGATTGCCATTCGGCTGTGAAACCTGAAGTACGACAATGCGAATCCAACTATATTTGGCACAATCCATAAGTCTTTACTAAAAATAATGTATAATCTACAGATTCGCATCAAAGAGTTTTTTATGATATTAATTCGAATACTGGTGTCTATAATGCCCTATCCCGACTGTACTGGGATACATTTCATTCATATATTTTTAATTAAATAACAATCAAATAATATCGTCCGGGCTCTTCTGTACGTTAATTCGGATCTATTTGTATCCAATTAAACTTTCGAATAGTATTAATAGTTTTAGTATAGACAAGTTACATGTATCTCCTTTGTGTTAGTTAATTTTTTAGTGTGTAAAAATGTAATTTTTTGTTTTACTCTTCATGATCTACCTGATTATATTTTACAGAACTATCCCGAGTAGCAATTCGAGTTCATACTGGGTTCATTTAATATAGTAACAACGGTGCTGAACTCAGTTCAAAACCCGTTCACAGCACGGTTCAAAATGAGATTTGAATACGGATTTTAACATGGGGTGAACCGAGTTCTACAAAAGTTCAGAAAGAGTTCAAAGACCGTCCCTCGGTTCAACTATAAAACCCTCGATAACAGTTCAATAATCGTTCATTAGTTCAATAAAAGCAAGCTCTACGATTCATTAAGCGTTCATTAGTTCATTAGCAGTTACGGTATTTTAAATTAAATTTATAGGTTTTGTAAATATTCAAACATTTTATAATTTTAAAATAATAAATTGTATTACTATTTACACAATGTATAAAATAAAATAAAATATATTATATGTAAATATAAAATAAAATAGTTAACCTTCGAATTTTAGGTTTATTTTATATTAAATGATAATTAGTAAACATGTCCTTCGCGCATGTCTAACTCGTGTAGACAACGTATCGACAAATATGGAGATGAAGTGAGCCCGTATGTAATGGTAAGCAACTCAAATTCTTGGACTTCGTAATCGGGAGATTGTCGCCATAAGATATGTTGGTATACGCAGTCCTCTTCACGTATTCGAATTTGACGGAACATTTTACTAGATCAGCGGTAAACATAAATTTACGTGTACGGCACATTAGTAACAAATTACTTATGTCAGTCTGCAGTTTTGGACCAACACATAACACGTCATTTAATGACAAACCAGATGACGATGGCGCACTACCATCAAAGACCACACGGATTTTGGATAAATCTCCGTCTTGTTTTATCACTGCGTGATGTGGGATAAAATATTTGCCAGGTCGCGTAGCGAGTTTCATGTGACCGAGCGACAAATATTCATTCATAAATTTGCGGTACGCATCGTATAAATCTGCATTTTTAAAAAGACGTTGTTCGAGATTATATAATCTTTTGAGAGCTAAATTACGAGATTCACCAAGCCCGTGGTTGAGCGTAGGTGCGTTCATGTCAGCGGTATTTTTGTTACACCCCACAGAAATCTCGTCTTTGAACGGTAATGCCACACAAAAGCGACCCGATACATCACGTGTGGTAGTATGTGTAAACCAGTGATTACAGAGTTCATCTTCTGTTGTAGGAATTAGCGGGGCAGACGGTTCTTCTATTGTCCAGAATTGCCGCAACAAACTATCAACAGATGGGCTAAGAGTCACGGCAAGTGACGTCAATGGCTGAAGCGAAGTGTCAGTGAGCGAGACTGTACCTACTAATATCCATCCTAGGTAGGTGTCAAGTGCGGAGGGTAGACTTTTCATATGTATGATCTCCGCCTTTGGACGTACAGTATGTGGAAAGACATCTCCACCCAACAACATATCAATAGTACCGGGTGTGTCGAAGTAAGGATCGGCGAACAACAAGTCGTGATATTGCTCACGTACTTTTGGTGGTAAACGCGTGGTCGGCATGAGATGTGTTATGTTTGATAAAACTATCAAGTCATTACAAGTAAAGACTGGTTCTAATGCATAGTGTGGTATAAACGTGCATTTAGAACTGCCCTTTATTTGGTTTACACGGTTTTTCGCCAAGCCGACTATCTCGGAGAAACATTTACGACGCGGTAAACCAAGACGTAATAAACAATCTGACGTAATCGCTGATATTTGGGACCCACTGTCCATTAACACACGCACATGCTGGTAAGAGCCGGTGTTATCGCAAACTCGTACGACAGCAGTACCCAATACTACAGTACTTTGTGCATATGAAGTACCTGAAAATTTCGGCGGCGTATCACCTATTTGATCAGCAGTTGATGAAGTAGATGGCGCAGGTTGATCCATGTGCAATATAGTGAGGTGTTTTTTCTCGCATTTCTTACACACCGAGTTTAAAGCGCATGACGATGCAACATGACCCGGTTTAAGACAAGAAAAACATAATTTGTGCGTAGAAACATGATCACGCCTTTTCTGAACAGAAATTTTTTGAAATGTATAGCACCGATAAAAGGGGTGTGAACCCTTTTGACAATAAGAACACTGAATTTTATTTTGAACAGTAGGCTCTAGATTATTAGACGCGACGGTGGTTAATGAATGTTTCGGCGACTGCGAATTTTTCTGTACCGAACGCGACGCGACTAGATTAGAACCTTTAAGATTTTCCAAAATTTTACAACGTTGCTGAACAAACTTCAGCAAGTCATTCATAGAAGGAATAATCGATTGCGATATACTGTTTTCAAATAAGTGTCTTGTTGTGTTATCCAGTACACGAGAAGCAATATAAAAAAGCAAAAAACCAGACAGGTCATCTACGCTTAAAATTTTGATTGCCTCGATATTTTCTTTGAAGACATTTAAAAAAAGTTGCAAAGATGAAAGTGATTCACTATTTATAGGTCGAAATGCAAAGATTTTGTCCAAATGTGCTATTGCTAACACTCTTTTGTTTTCATACCTATCGGTAAGTGCGCTCCACGCTATATCATAATTGGCTTTCGTAATTGGTATAAATTTTATAACAGCGAGCGCGGAACCGGACAAACACGAAAGAAGGAAATTGAATCGCCTAATTTTATTAGAATCGACATTCACAATAGATTCAAATGTATCACGGAAAGTAGTCCAGTCTGTAATACTACCATCAAATTTTAAATTCATATTCGCATACATGTTGTTATATAATGACTGAGAATGACTGGGCATAGCAACAGCGGGTTGCGATGTGTTCACATTTTGAACTAAGGACGCAGCAGCACTAATATCATAAAACATGTTTTCCATTTCGAGGGTCACTGTCGAATCGATACTATCGAACTCTTCGACGCGATTGAGTTCTATTAACGCGTTTACAATAGCCTGTTGATGTTCGCGAAACTGTTTTTCGAGAACACTTAATTGACGAACGCGTACTTCAAACTGTTCTTTAAGGCTAATGTCAGACTTAAACTTAATAGCGAATTTATGAATTTCAGTAATCGATTTAAGAGAACTATCCCGTAAAGTACGTGCTCCAATGAGAGTCTTTTCTTCCAGATTTACTTTAAAATGCCTCGGGGCCATTATTAAGACAAATAAATATCCACGCTCGAAGGACCAATGTGGATAGGGGGGACACTTAATACTAATGCCACAAAGGCGATGATATAAACAAATAATAAATTATACAAGTGAGTCTTAGAAAGATAAATGAACAAGCATTATACTTATCTACTAAATGAAACGGTAGCACAGTGGGGTCGCGGCATAGTGGAGACATTGCATAGTAGGGTCCAGTATAGATTTAATCTGACAGTGATTAAAATCACTATCATAAGAAACGCTTCGATGCAAATCTGTAGATAGTGTTTAATTTTAAAAAATTGATGGATAATTGCAAAAGCAACATCAACTTCTATTAAAATAAAATACAAAACCCATAATTATCATACAAAAATAGTATATTTTTCAATATGGTAGCCATTTGCGNCCCCTGTATTTAGGGAAATGGTCCCATTTAAAAAAACAGTATATCAAATGAATGATGTATATGAATACTACTCCTCATAAAAAAATTGTACTGATCCATACATTTTTCAAAAAGTTATAGCATAATAAAGTTAAAAATGTAAAATACAAAATCGAAAATTTTCACACAAAAATAGCATTCGGTAGCCATTTTCACCATGAAGATAAAATAAAGTCCGAAATTTTTTTTTACCATAATAAAGTATATTACATTAGCTTTAATTTAAGATATATATAAAAGTGTCAGACCTTCCGGAACATTTTCAAAATTTAAGTTAAAAAAATTAATTTTTTGTGAAAAAGTTGTCATTTTAAATCCCCCCTTGTGGGAACGTTAAGGGTTAAATTTATGAAAAAAATATACCAAATGAAAGGTAATGATATTATGCATCTATATAAAAAAGAATTATATTGATATGTTTATTTTTAAAAAAGTTATGGCACTTTTAAGTAAAAAAAATTGAAAAAATTTCGAAAATTAGCGATTTTTAAATTCGTAATTTTTTTAGATATTTCCCCCATTTGCGGGGAACGAGGGAATTTTTTTCAATTTTTAAGGATTGTCTTCAACTAGATACGATTTGTGATCTTTTGGCGTATTTTTGAAAGAAATCGGTCCAGTGAGAGCTGAGAAAAAGTGGCAAAAGACATAAAAAAAAAAAACACATCATAGTAAAATTAATACCTTCTCCGCTTCGCATCGAAGCTAAAAATAATATATGCTATTATTAAAATTAATTAAAATAACTATTTATTATTTTAGTCCTAAATTTAAATTAAATGCAGTGGCGCAACTACGGGGGTGCTAGGAGTAGCTGAAGCACCCCCAACTTTACTTTAAGCACCTCCAAGTTACACGTCTTTGTAATTTCAAATATTTATTTATATTCTCAATACGGCACATGACCAAATTTCAGTTTAATAAACTTAACTTACATGTACAATAATCATATAAAATACAAAAATACAACAATTAATAATATAATAAAGCTGATGAGTCCTTATTAGCAATACTCATCATTCTATAAAATGGCCTGTTTTTTAGGTAGTTGGTATTACATTTAGGTATAGAAAAAAGAATTAGATTAGCAACTTCTATACTATTAGTACTAGTAAACCCATTCAAATTAATTGTTTTAGGAATTGACTGTTGAGATTTACTCTTTCTAACAAAGTTCCAAAAATTTTTTGGATTAATACAAAAATTAGATTCACTGTGTTCAAAAATTTTCTGTAACAATTTTTCGATAAAAATTTGTATTTCGCACGTAGTAGAGAAAAATTTCTGTAATCGAGTAGATTACGTGTTGCCTTAAAAATGGCGTGGGCTTTTCTTTTTTGGAACACTATATCAATCAAATCCTTAGAAAATCATCAAGGAAAATTAGATTTAATATAGTTAACACGTGGAACCCAGTGAAGAATAGAGAAGTGTAATGCATCATACAAAGTTAATGTTGCTAAATTAACGTCTAGTTGAGTAAAAGTATCCAACCAATTATAAGATAGGAAAAATCTGAAATACGTGTATAATCTGNAGTCAGACTTTCCGGAACAGTTTCAAAATTTAAGTTGAAAAAGTAAAATTTTTGTGAAAAAGTTGTCATTTTAAATCCCCCCTTGTGGGCAGGTAAAGGGTCAGATATAAAAAAAATATATANAAAAATGGCGTGGGCTTTTCTTTTTTGGAACACTATATCAATCAAATCCTTAGAAAATCATCAAGGAAAATTAGATTTAATATAGTTAACACGTGGAACCCAGTGAAGAATAGAGAAGTGTAATGCATCATACAAAGTTAATGTTGCTAAATTAACGTCTAGTTGAGTAAAAGTATCCAACCAATTATAAGATAGGAAAAATCTGAAATACGTGTATAATCTGCTTTCGTAAAATAAAAATATGATTCAACGGCATGAAAGAACGGATTTTTTTATTTGTTGGGTAATCAATAGCTAATGCAGGATAATATCGATCTTCAGGAACAATTGGATCGTACACCATATTAACTTTAAAAAGATTCTTATTTGTAAAAATAAGATCTAACATTGAATTGTAAACGTTAAAAACGTTATTAACTTGATTAAAGCTTTAAGAAAGCAAAAGTCTCAGGAATAGGCTGTTTTCGGTAGCCATTGAATAGAAAATACCTAAATTATCGTTAGACCAATTAATATTAGGTAAGTTAAAGTCACCATATAGAATAAAACTATGGGTGCTATAACAACAAATTAGATTTTTAATTGTGNTTTAAGTGTATTGAACTACAAAGATTGCGAGTCAGAAAGTGCTTTATTGAAGGCGAAGACTTTGAAGAACAAAATAATTTGCATTTAATCTTCATTAGAAATAGTACTTAAAGATCTCGTACTAACACCAGAACGGACAGCAACTTTTTTTGAAGTTGCATTGGTTGCACCAGGAGAAGACATATTAGAAAAATTNTCTTTATGCACAGCAATAAGGACACCACCACCTCGAGTACAATTACTCATTAAAATACTTCTATCACATCGATAAACATTATAATTATCCAAACATAATTCAGAATCAAATAAATCAGAATTAAGCCAAGTTTCTGTTAAAACAAGAAATACATAATTAAAGCTGGCAAGATTACACTTAAGAGTAAAAAATTTAGTCCTAAGATCACGACAGTTTTGGTAAAAACCAAACGGAACATTATCATTCGACGTAGTATAGCTAATTGTAGGTAAATCACGAGGACAAGACTTATTAATTTTAAAATTGTAGAAATCTAATATAAAAGTACTAAGAGTGGACTTGGCATTTATTATAAAAATATACATGCTCATGCAAACCTAGTGTACATGGCTGAACTATGAAAGTTGAGAAATTTGCTGAATATCTGGTTGTCGATTGGTATGTTTTCACGAACCCGGTATTTTGGAATTGATTTGACCACAGATAGAACACCATTTTTATAATATATACGTAGATTTGTTTCACCTTGAGCTGTACGAGACAATAGATCATTGTGACAAGCACGTAATAGTTGTCGTTCAAATTTGGTTTTATCCTTGGCAATATTAAAACCATTTTGGAATTGAGTACCTGACCGCTTAACCTGGTTGTATGGTACAGCAAAAATTGTGCTTCCTCTTTGTTAGTATATATTAGCTTAAGTGGGCGGGTAATACCTGGACGTGGTTTCCCAATCCGATTCAAATTAAGATTCGTTGGAAGGCAATTTCTAACCGGCAACAAAATATTTTTAATCATGAATTCATCATGTAGAACTCTCTCAGAATCAGTTAAAGAGGTAGACTCTAATACACCATAAGCAATCACATTGGAAGAACAACGATCTCGTTCAAATAGTTCTTGCAAAACCTGGCTAGTGATTGTGGATGGGTTAGCAGACGAATTTTTCTCTTCAAGACTACTAATTTTTGCCTTAAATGAACCAATATTTCTTTTGAGTATTATATTCTCTGCTTTGAGTTCACTCACTTGCTCAGAAACTTTTAATATTTCTGCTTTAAGTGTATTGAACTGCAAAGATTGCGAGTCAGAAAGTGCTTTATTGAAGGCGAAGACTTTGAAGAACAAAATAATTTGCATTTAATCTTCATTAGAAATAGTACTTGAAGATCTCGTACTAACACCAGAACGGACAGCAACTTTTTTTGAAGTTGCATTGGTTGCACCAGGAGAAGACATATTAGAAAAATTACTCGGGGTTAAATTCTTCAAAGTAAGCCACTAGAGGTTAGTCTCTAACAAGTGGAAGAAGAAACTAGCTAATGTTTTAAAGCGTATGTTGATAGTAGCAATATTATCAAAAAACAAATTATAAAAAAGATAGTACGACTTAATATACGAAAAGACGTAATTATTAAACTACTTATACTTGCATATAACAAACCAACGAAGATTACCACGACGCACAATTGAACACAAAAATATACTTAATACTTTAAACAACAATTGTAAATAAATTATTTGTATATACCAATTGAAATTGTTATAAAGACTGTAAGTAACAAAATCTATATTATATTTTATAATTATATATTACATAACTAATATTAATTAGTAATTACTGTAAATAATTAGTAAATATGTAATGTGTATGTGATTTGTAATTGTAGCACCCCAAGATTTGAACTCTAGTTGCGCCACTGATTACATTTTATTGAACTTTTCAGTTAAATATATATGTGAGAGTGAACAGGGAAAAAGAAAAGTCTTGACAAGTTACCTAGTCACTGTGAAAATGGCGAATGTCTCAAAAACATAATTTGTAAAAAGAGTAACACAAACGTTGATGATTTGAAAAAATGTCACAATAAAAATTATATAACAAATAAAAATCGCGCGAACTAAAACTGTTGGTCAACGGTTACACATAGTAAAATGAATAAGAAGTATGCTCGATCACAGTCAGCATTTTCGTCGTAGTACNTATTACTTTGAAGTTTTTTTTTGTTAATTTACTAATCAAGGGATAATATGTCTAATAACAGTATAAGTGAATAAAACTATATGAACGGCTATAACTGTTATAACGATTCTTTCATTATAATGAAAGAATTTTTGTGAATTCGTACGATTATTTTGAACATTGAACGGTCTCAGCACTTACTAAAAATTGCTCGGTCATTTATTGAACGTTGAACTTTCCTAGAACTTATTAAAAATTACACGGTTCATTATTGAACATTGAACGGTCCCAGCACTCGTGGGTCGCTTGAACCGACCGTGAACCAAAATAATACTATTCGGGATATTACTTCGAAAAATATCCCCGAAAACAGTATTTTAAAGACTAATATTTCCAAGAAAAATATCTATTAAGAAATTATTTTTAAAAAACTGTATAACACTGATAGACATTAATATAGAGAATATTAATCGGTAAAATATAATTCCAAACCATACTATTCGGGAAAACAAAATTCAAGACTGCACTGACCTGAAACATATAATCTAGAACCTTACTAAACTAAAAAATGACAACAATTTTTGTCTGTAAATTAAAATTAGCCCGTTTAATAAAAAATTAGAAGAGACTGGATAAACTTAATTATTTAATGGGTAAACCCCAAAAATTAAAGAGTTCATTTTACATTGAAAAATCGCTATTTCTACAGTCAAAACTAGAATCCATGTTATGAGATACATAAAAAATAGTTTGTTTTTATTTTAGTTACATACATTAAATAAATTAAATAAATTAAATAAATTCTAGAATCATCCCTTATGTATCTTTTACATTTATCTTTCATAAAATATTTTTAGGTCATCTCATATATCTTATAGATGTGTCAGACCATTTAATTACATATAAAATAAAAAAAATATCGCCATTTTTTCGGGCTTTTTTAGTTTTAGGGTGTCAAATTTGTATATTTATATGGCAACATAAATATTTAATTAGCTTATAGAATAATAATAATTTATATAAGAAAATGACTGACCAATACCAACTTTTTAACAAATATAAAATTGACAAAATAACAATATTCAAACGGATATCGTTATTTTTATAACTAGTTAAATCTTTATATCTCCTAAAAAATTATTATATTTAATTCGCAAATATTTACATATATTTTAATCGGCACCCCCTTCCACACTTTTTAATGACGAAAAAATATAAAGAAGATCTGGGGCAGATGGGCATAGGTACCATAATTTTTGTTGAAATAATTTTAACAACATTTTTGGAGTTATAATATCTAATCTCTAAGTCTTAATTTGCAACTGCGTAAATAGATCAAGTCACTGGCATTTTCGCTGTTGGCTTCTCAATTGTATTCAGGGGCGGACTTAGGTATGTGGTGGCCCCTGGGTGGAATGCATTGTGGGGGCCCCTTATACATAAACAAGGAAATATATTATTTTACTTATTAAATAAAAATTATATCATATTTGTGATACCAATGTATACCAAATTTATGGGGGCCTCTGGGCTGCAGCCCACTCAGGCCTCTCCTAAATCCGGCCCTGATTGTATTTATAATTAATCAAGAATAATTCAATAAAAATGTTACACATATTTAAAATGTATATAGTAAAAAATGAACTGGGAATATGATTTGATGAAAGGAGCTCTATCTAATATTTCCTGGTAAAAAGCCATCTACACCTAAATTTTTACTTTTATTTATACTAATTACAATTCATTATTTTAGTTTTAATGGTAATATATTTTACTAAACTGGTATATTATAGTGTTTTATAATGATTCCTAATGATTATAAGGAAAGTATTTTCCTTGGTAATGTATTCCATGATAACACAATACAAATCAAATGCTTTTTAATAAAATGTTATCCTCGATGATATATTCCATAATAATAAAACAAGTAGTTGGGTTTTTCAAAAAATATTTTCCTTAATAAAATGATGCGTAATATTTTTCACAAAGAATATTTTCCTGCGTAATACATTCCAATATTAGTAAATTTCAATGTAATATTGTCCCATATAATCTAATTCTTCGAAAGTACGTTTTCTAATTTTTTCGTTCTTGTTAATATTTTACCAAAAAAAAATCATTCTTATCTAATATATTCTCGATTCGTACTGTTCAATGAACGGTGTTCATGTACATTTTTAATTTTTAGTGAGTGCCTTCACTATATATTTTCACAACCAGTATTTTTTTTTGTTTTTACAGTGGTTTTAGAAAAAGAAATACGTTGATTGTGAGCAATAATCTTCAATATAAATAGTACGTAAGTATTATTAACATCATCAATGATTTAAGTATAAAATAAATGATAACATATTTGAGTATTAGGTCATAAAATGTTGTGTTATCATTGTTTAAATAATAGAATTGTAATAACTAACAGTACAGATTCTTAAACAACTAACACGTGAGGTTTAAGGTTCAATAAATAAGAATTAGCTTACAAGACGTTACTACGTAGACAATTATATATTGATATTTACTGAAGTCCATTTTATTAAACTTACATAAGTCCAGTAGTTATACTTTAAATATTTGAGTAAATTAAATGAATTGGATAAAATATTTGATTAATTGTTATGTATTTAAGAAAGAATATTTATCAACAGTTAATATTTAAAATGTTTAACATTAGTAAGAAATTATCAATAATAATAGTGAAATATACAGACCTATTAAACTACAGAAGTTATAATAACTAAAACCTAATAGTTCTTTTTCTCCTTTCGCCCAAAAAAATGTTTAGTTAAATTTTGGGGTAATTTAGTAATAAATGTGTTAAAGCTTTCATTAATTTTTTAATTATTTAGAATATTATTAGAAATATCCACGTATAAGTTTTATGCTAACTATGGAAGTAAAGTCATTGGTCAAAAATTTAAACCAAAGAGGTAGCTTTACTTTAAACCAAAAATAGCTACAACCTGTGTCTTACAACAGTCTCATTTTACAGCATTTTTTTACCTCTGAACTATTTATTTAAAAGTTGTTATTAGACCATTTTTAAAACACTTGAATACTTTAAGCTTATATTATATGTATAATTTATAGACCTAAAAAATATTTAATAACTTATAATAATTCATGTTTAGACTTCCTTTAATTTTTTTTTATCTTTATACCATACATTGACATGTTTTAATGTATCTTTTTCTTGGATTTAATCTCGTAAAAAATTAATTAATCATTGAACATTTTTTTTCTAAAATAACTACAATAATTATTATAGTTATTTAAAAGATATTAAATGACAAACAGTTGAATCACTCTATAAATATAATATAATCAATATTAAAACAAAAAAATATTAACAAAAATGACATTATGAAATTTTACAGAGAAATAAACAAAATTAAGTTTTTATTTAAATAGTAATCATACTGTTTATTTATTCTTTAAATATAGTTGCTTGTCCTGTTGTGTCAGTAAAAAATAAAAATATTTTCTTACTGAGTTCAGGTCCAACACGCCTTGTAACAGCTAAAGGTCCAAACCCTCTACGAACCTAAATAATAAAATACATTTTTATATTTAAGTTTAAATGAATGATAATATGTTTAAATTTAATCTTACAGGTATATCTTGAAGCAATAATTCTCCTTCTAATTTTGAGTTACAACTTTCATAGGCCTACAAAGCATAAAAAATATTATTGAGAGTAATTTAATAATTACCCACAACTTTCAAGGAAAAATAATTTAAGATGTAGGAAAAATTAAAAGTATTAATCAATTTCTAAAAAAAATACTCAGCACACTGGAAGCGCGACATAGTAGGTTACAGTATAGATTTAATCTGAAAGTAATTAAAATCACTATCATAAAAAACGCTATTATACAAATCTGTAGATAGTGTTTAATTTAAAAAAATTAGTGGAAAAGCACATGATCTCCTATTTTCTTATTTATATCCTGATTACTAGTTTTATGATTTATAAGTGTAATATATGAATAAATATTTATTACAGTAATTAAATATAGTATGAAATTAATATTTAATAATTTAGTATTGTTATTTGTACGGAGAAGTTATAAAAAATTATAAAATAGTTATTACTTTTATGACAAACATATATAAAAGTTGAAAGTCTTGATACAATACTTAAAAAAAAAAATGTTTGTTATTTATAAATTTACTAGTCTACAAGGAACTTTCATCCGTTACCAATATATACTTTTCTAAACCCATTTTCGTGCCGATTTCAAATCTGAATAATCAATAAATATATTTTAATTAAAAATAAGTTTAAAAAGTTCTACTTTCTATATGCATTTTTAAGTTTTGAACCACCCCTGTATAAGGAGAAATGGTCCGATTAAAAGAAAAAGTATGTCGAATGAAAGAAGTATATAAATAGTATTAATTATAAAAACATTGTTATGATCCATACATTTTTCAAAAAATTATAGTATTATAAAATTAAAAATATAAAAAATAATTATTTTACAAAAATTGTATTTTTTTATAAACTTTGATATCCGTTTTCACCATGAGAACAAAATAAAGTCCAAAATAAATTTTTTTTTTCATATAAAAGTATATTATATTACATAAGCTTTTATTTAAGATATATAAAAAAGTGTCAGTATTTCCGGAACACTTTCAAAATTAAGTTGAAAAAGTTAATTTTTTGTAAAAAAGTTGTCATTTCGAATCCCCCGTGTAGGGCTGTAAAGGGTCAAATTTATAAAAAAAATACATGAAATGATAGTTAAATACCTCATGTATATTTCAAAAAAAAATTATATTAATTTGGTCATTTTTAAAAAAGTTATGGCAGTTTTAAGTAAAAAAATTTAAAAAATGTCGAAAATTACCAATTTTTTAATGTGTAATTTTTTTGGAAATTTCCTTCATTAACGGGAAACGAGGGAAATTTATTCAGTTTTTGAGAGTAATGTCTTCGACTAGATACGATTTGTGATCTTTTGATTTATTGTTGAAAGAAATCAGTTAGGTGAGAGCTGAGAAAAAGTGGTAACGACACAAATAAAAAGAAATAAATTATTGTAAAATTAATACCTTCTCAGCTTTGTATCGAAGCTAAAAAATTGATTACAAGAAAATTTCAGAGTAATTAAATCATTTTATAAAATTTAAAATTTTGACTACATGTTTTAATTATTTTTTAAAATGATTCTTATTCTTGTATACTAAAATTTATAGTTTAATTATAATTTTATCATATTTTATACTTAAGAAAAAAAAGGAAATACTTCTTTGAGTTAATTAAAACTTACAGATTACCTTTTATTTTATATAGATTTTTGAAATAAAAATGTAATATCATCTCATTTATTATAACAGTAATTACTTTTATTGTATCGATTGTAAGAAATTACAGGAGGAGTGTTAGCCTCTCTTAACTGAATTATTTATTGAGGAACAAAATTTTTTTTGATTATTCAAATAATTAGTAATATAAGTTAATCTTTATGCATTTTTACTATCCAATAAAATATGAAGTCTGAATGTACTCATAGTATATTATAATTTATCTCTCTATAGATAAAGACTTACCTTGTTTTTCTTTATTCATCCATATTTTTTAAGTTTTTTTTTTTAAGTAACGTCTAGTTATCTTTTATTATAGGAAATAGAAAACAGGACACTATTAAACTATTTACACGAATTTATGATATCTCATAACTACCCCATATCTCATCAAAAATTTAAAATTTCCATTCCTCAGAAACTTCTTAAAATAAAAAATCATACCTTTTTCTAAAAAAAGAACTTGTTCTAGATTTAGTTCCTCTAAAAAAATATATTGTTTTCCTTTTTGTCCTTATTTTGTTAAAAAACCTGCTATATTAAAAACCTGTTATATTAATATTTGAACTATAGTTTAAAATTAATGTATAGGGGGTATATTTTAATTTCCTGTGCATAAGAACATATTGAACAAAATGTTTAGAGCATTTAAATTGATTTCTTTTGTTCTTAAAATATTTTTTTATGAATTAATATAAAATTCCTTAAGGGGTTATTATTTCACTGGTATTACATCCATATTTTTTTTTGGGAGAAAATATAATGAAAACAAATAAGCTTACCTCTAATAATTGTAGAGGTGTTTCATATATAGAAGCAATTGCCTCACTTGCTTCAAGAGCACACAATGGAAATTGAGAAAGTTGTTGCCTCCAAAGCTGATTCAAACCTGTACCAAATTTATCAACAGAAACACAATTTTTTGAATGACCAGAAGCATACCATTCACAACCTTCTAATTCTTCTTTATATTTATTTAATCTTAAAATATAAAAAATCATTAAAACATTAATGATAAATAAACCTATTATATAGGGTATTAAGTAAGTAAAGAAATGGGTATCTATTGTTGTCATTGTTTGAAAAACTTGACATGTTTCCTTACTTATTGAACACTCTGTTTAACTATTAAATAATCAATATAAACCAAAAATAATAATTAATGAATTAATAAATAATTCAACAAATCAATATTTTAGAACAATCAATAGCTATTAATGAAAATATATAATCATTTACTTTAATATGAATATCTTGTAATTACATTTTGAAAATTTTATAAAAAATAAAAACTGATAATTTCTTATTCATGGGTATTCTATTTATAATAATTTTTACTATAATACCTCAAAATAATTAAATTTATAAATTACGCTCTATGTACTCTTATATTATTGTGATGAATTGTTTTATAACAAAATAGTTATAAAGAAAATCAAAAAAGTTTTAATACCAAAAGGTAATTAAAAAAAATATGTAGTTAAAAAGTATTGTTATTAAGATAATAAAATAAAGAAAAATGATAAAAAATATTACTTATATGGCTTTTGAGCAACAGATTTTGTCAAATGAGATACAGCTGATCCTACTTCATTTTTTGTTTCTACCAAACGAAATGATACACCGCAGCTTAACATCATATGGTCAAGATTTTTCAGCATTATTGTTCTAATATTATAAAATTAATAATGACGTATATAAATTTACATACTTCAAAAACACTCTTACTTATTGAATGTTCCTTTTTTTCGAGATTTAGTTTTCCTAGAATAACAATTTTTATATTATTCAATAATCAATTGATATATATCAATTTGAGATAATCATAGCTATATTCAAATTTGAATATAGTTTTATGTTATAAATAAGAGATGAGTTATTATTTTAAATAGATAGATAGTTATTGTTTAAAAATAAATTAACTTAAGAATTATTATTAAGCAATAATTTTCATTATTTAATCTTTTGATGTTATTTAACATTAAACACATTTTGTAATAAAATACCTTATACTATTTGTGATAATTTTCATTATTTTTATAGAAAACTATAAATATACATAATAGCTTTTTGTAGTAAGGAAAATAATTTGTAATGTAGCTATAAAAAAAATTAAAAATTAATAAATATTTAAAAGTTCTATGTGATAAATATTAAAAGGTGGTGAAAATTGCTACATTTAAAATATTATTCTGCAGCTATTGTTACATAAAAAAGAAAATTTGACAATATTAATCACTACTTTTTTTAAAAAATTTGGGATACTATTATATAGAGCGTTCAGTTAGTAAGAAAAATCGTTTCTAGTGTTCTTATTGTTAATAACAATTTACCCATTTCAATAATTTTGGAAAACCTGTAAAAAGTTACAATATTTTTTACATAATTAAAAAAAAAAATTACTCTCTAGAAAATTGTATATATTTAATTTTTTTTAGTATTACTATAGAAATGTATAGTAGCTATGGGCTGATTTTAATTGTGACCCACACTCCTAAAAAGTTGCGACCACTAAAGAAAAAATTAAAAATTTTTTTTGTTGCATAAAATACATAAAACATTAGAAAATTAAAGTTAAGTATTTTAAGAGCTACAAGCATTAAAAATTATATTATTAAAGTGATCTGGTATGGTTAAATTAAAATTAATTTAGAAAGTACTTTTTGTCAAAAATTCACTTTTTCCTATGGTCTATTTGTATTCTAATACCAATAAACTTCTGTCATAGTTTACTTGAACATTTTTTATTTAATTAATTGTATTGTTACATATAAATATTACTTAATAACTTAATGGTTGTTTAGTACATAAAAAACCTAAACTTTGAGTAGAGTAAATGATCTGTTGCTATGCAAAAAAATTGAAAATCTGCTAATATGAAAAAAATATTTATGTTTTTTTAGTCTCCATAGAACCTTGGTTAATGATGTCGATTGCTTCAAATAGATATATACGTTTTGGGACCTTTTTACATATCATTGAGTAAAATCAGGGTCCAGTAGGAGTGGAAGTAATGTCATATACAGACACAAAAAAAAAACAGAAAAGTAAAACTAATAGCTCTCAGCAACATAAGTTAAAATAATGTGTTAAAAAAAACCCATTACAATAAAGTTGTGACATAGTTGAGACAAATATAGGTAATATCTAACAGTGATTACTGACATGAAAAATTCTTTGATGCAAATCTGTTAAATTTCACAATTTGGATATTTGTAATTTTACAATTTTAATACGTTTTTAAAATAAAAAAACATAATATGTTTTATATTTTTTAAGATGTTATGTAATTTACAGATAATCAGTTACTCTATATGTATTAATGTCATATTATATTAATTTTACTTACTTGAATTCTTCAACAGACCCATATATCATAAGAGAAATATGATTTTTGTAAGGCTTAAATTTATTTATATTTTCTATCAACCTATTTGATGATATTAAATTTTTAATAATTTCGAAGTTCCAAATTAAAAGCATATAGTTATCAATTTCTACAATATTATCAGTCTGTAAGAATAAAATTATAAAGTAGTGTATGTTTAAGTGTTAATCATGAATAATTATTACATACAATACATCTGGACCAAGTAATTGAGTAAGGAGCATTTGGATTTATATCTACTTTGTATTGCATACCATTAGATTTTAATTCATTCAATATATCTTCACTAAACTCACAAATCTGAATATTAGCATCAATGTGAACTGTAATGTACTAATAAACACTTTTATTAATTACTTATGAAAAAAATTATTTCAATTGAAAACAAAGAATCATACTTTTATACATTCACTAGGTTTTATTCGTTTTAAAGACTCAATTATAAGTTTTCTTTCATTTCTCCTTTTTAATTCTTCTAACTTTTTTGCAGCTATTTCATCTTTTGTTAGCCGTTTTCTTTTTTTTGGTTCATCCTGTATTAATAATTAATTCAATTTTATAAGCTGATAATTCAAAATAAAGGTACATTATTTATCTACCAATGTCTGCAATCCATAAACAGGTAAATTTAGTTCAGTCATGTGATTGTCTTCAACAACTTTTCTTTTTTTCTAGACATATTTTGATACTTTAATTTTAAATTGAAAAATTTGAACATCCAATAATTTTTTTTTTTTAATACATACTGATTTTACTTTATGTGACATTAAATTTTCATTGTTTGTTATGATACAAACATCATCAAAATTTTGATTATCTTTAGTTAAACTTTCAGAAATCAGCAAACTATCATTTGAATTATGCGTTTCTAAATTAACTTTTTTTTGCTGAAAAAAATTAATATACTTTAAATATAATATGTTAGAGCAATTTTTAATAGTAATTGTATATAAATTATAGTCAGTAGACATTTTTCTTCATTAACTTAATCAATAACTTAGCCAATGGTGGAGATTTACCCATTAAAAATTTGTTTAATCAACGTATACCTTAGAAATATAGTACTTATGACCTATTTATATTGAAGGGAATATGCTCATAAATCAACACATACTTTTAAATAAAAAAAAAATGTTTTTAATAAAAACACCAGTGGCTTTAATTAAAATCTATTTGAATGAAGTTATATTAGCTAGAGGTAACAGACATACTCTTTACTACCAGTACCAAGTACCATAGCCTTTCTCAGGGAAGATATATGGAGGATAAAACTCCTCACGTGATGAAAATAAATATACGGTAAAGATATATTTTGGAAGGGGTAGTATAAAACATTTTATTTACATTTTCCTCCTTCATGACGAAACCCTGTGTACACCATTGTAAACTTAAATGATGACTAATAAAAAATGTACTTTCTTACATATGTTTAAAATTCTTAAGAAACCTACATAAGTTTGTATAAGAACCTCAAATTTTTAGATCTGGGGAACGTAGCATGGTTGATAATTATTATTTTAAAAACCATTTTTAAAGTGGCTTTCTTTGCTAATTATCATGACTATATTTTTTTAATTTAAAAGGTATTTTCAAATAGAAATAAAAAATTAGTGGAAATTTTACTTTAATTTTCTAGTGGCTCAGTATGCAACCTTTACAGTTTTAAGCAATGATTATTTTTTATTTTAATACAACAACACGACAAAATTTTGTAATTGCAAATACTTATTCTTAACAGTTTATGGAAAAATTAATATTCAACCACCTGAATATATTTAAATTACATACGTTTTTGAGAACTTGATGAAAAAATTCTGGTTCATCTGGAGAAAGGTCACGTTTAAAATTTGAACAATTAATTTTAGGACTGGGACAATTTTCTAAAATTACAGACTCATTTTCAGAGTCTGATATAGTGTACACATTATATTTGCCGAAATCCATATGAAGTAAATTAAATAATTTAAGAAAATCGAATAAATATATAAATTGTTAATTAAAATTATTAATTTATTTAAACATCAAGTATTTAACGGAAACACTAAAACAGTGTACTATTATCACAGATAAGATAAAAGTTTATCATATCTGTGGCGATTATATCATATAATTATTATCGATATGTCTATTATTTTGTGATAATGCCTACATAATGTCTAAAGTGTTATCATTGCAATTTACAAACCGAAATCCTAGACCAGCCTTTTATATATTAATAACATTGCGAGGTACGCCCGCAGTAATGTAGGCCATAATTTTTACAGTGATACCATAAAATAATATCAGCAGGTTTCTATTTTTGATGCCTAGTAACACCTCCGCATTTGTAATTTTGCAATACTCAGATTTTATTTAATTTAATTTGTTTTCTTTATATATCATTACTATAAAATGCTATTATTTTTTTTCTTTTAATAGGTAAAAACCCTTTGATTAAGATGAAAGAAAATAGAGGTATATAGACACACTTTTTATCGTTTTACAACTAACGGTTTTTTTCCTGTTAAAGAGAAAATTAATAAAATACTATGTTTTATCATAGAATTTAATGAACAACCTATTTACAAAAATGTAAAATTTTTTTCATAAATAAAACATTTGAAATTACTTTATGTAAAAATGATTCACAAATTTCAAAATTATGAACCGTTTATGTCAAATAATAAACTGATATTACTATTGTTAACATTAACTTGTCCGCATACAATATTTTTGTAATTATTGTACGAGTAACGGAAGTAACCGTAAAGCTCCCATATGGTCTATGGTAAAACTATCTCTATAATAAGAACATATCACTTGTAGCTAATATTATTTAAAATTAAAAAATGTTTAACTCAAAAAGCTACAAAAAATTTTGCATTCATGTTTTTCGAACAAAATGTTACAACACTGAATAACACTACACTTTTATCACTGATTCTTGATGAGGTTCTTTCTTCCATAACGAAAAACGCCCATATATTCATGAATACATTATAATAATTAAATTACCAAAATTTCTGCAGAAATATAATATTTCAATAGGTTTTTTCAGAGACCTTCACTCCAAAATATATACAAAATTAAAAAACAAGTCGTATTTTATGTTTTAGTATTGAGATAATATAAAAATTAGTAATTCATTCTTCAATGATACAATGAAATATTTAAAAAAAAAAAAACAAAAAATTATAAATATTTTAGAAAAAAATTGATTAACAAATAAAGTAACTATTGATCAAAGTTCGGATCATTAAAAATGATAAAATAAGTTAAGTTAGATTCAACCTATAAAAAAATTAATTTCCTCTTAGAACCTTTAATTAAACGGAGCACACCTTATTAAATATTCTAAAAAATTTTAAATATATTAAAGTTATAGTTAAATATTCCAAGTATGGAAAGCACACATGTGAAATACTTACCATAGGAAATGATTCGTTTGTGATTATATTATTTAATTTAAAACTTAGTTTAGTTATATACGAATTTTTATTTAAAAAATGATGGATTATCTGTTGAGAATTTGTCACAAAATTTATTAAAATTCCTTTGGTTTTTTAATTTACTAGTTTGGCACCAAACCTATTTCTAGTGAAATGATTATGAAATAGGGAACATTTTTTATTTAGTTGGACATTTTTACATTGATAGGTTTTAAAACTGTCAACACAAAACAATCTTCTGTGAATAAGACGGTGTAAGGTATGAAGATGATGATAAGTCGGCTGCCTGGTAATTGACGTACGTGTGATCGTACAGCAGTTACTGTGCTCGGCTCACACCTACAGCCTAGTCGGAAGGCCATTGTTATAGGAATGGAAATGTAAGACACAAGTACTTTAAAGAGAAAACACTATTTATCAGCATAATCGCCTATGTCCAGCACATCGTTTCCCTGCAACCATTCGCGATAAAAATTAAACTGCCAAAATTTTGTACGGCGTGGCTTATCTATAGTGGTAAACTGAGTGTTTTAATTTGAGTTAATTAAATTTAATTTGACTACGCGGATGTTTTCGGGAAGAGTCAAATTAATAACTATGTTATTATTAATAATGAATATTATTGATGTAATATTCACCAATGGAACACTGACAATTAGGCATATAACTAACATAAAACTTAGTGTAATACAAACCGTATTAATGATTAATTTCTATATATAATAGTAATACACTTTCTATAGATACATAATAAACATCAAATTTTAAAATGGGTTTATAACACTATGAAACTAGTTTTTAAATTTCAAAGTAAGTGTTCAATAATCACATCACATTAAAATTATAAAATATTCATTATCGTGTTTATTTTCAAAACTATGCCGGCACTAATACTAAATAAAAAATATATTCCCATCACATGCCCTCAGCACATAATATTACTTTATATGTTTAAATATAAAATGGTGAAATATCCATTATTTTTGAAAAATATTGCATAATAATAACGCTGTTTTTAAAGTAAAATATCAAATGCATTAGAGAGCTGTGATTTTAGTTAATTGTTATTTATAATATTAACTGTTTATACCCAGTATGAATATATTATACATTTTCAAGAGTGGAACAATGTAAAAAAGAAAAATTTTATTTTTTACATTTTCTACAATTTTCTACATAGAAACTGTCGTATTAAAAGAACGTCAGAGAATAACACGTTTTAAAAATTTTTTTCGCGGTACAACCTCATTTTATTTGTACTGATAAATCTAAATTAAGTCCAAAAATTTTTACCAAATTATAAAGGAGAAAATAATTTGTGATTTAACTTTTTTATTTTTTCATTAACATCATTTCTAGTATTCTACATTCCTATCTTTTAGTTTTTTAAATGCTTAATAAATAGGGTTACGGAGATTGCCACGAACTGATGAAGCCCCGACATTCATTTACTCCGACACTGTAAAAAAATCCTCCGAATACATTTACTCCGACAACAATTACTACGAATACCTGGTTACAAAAATTGGGATTTTACTACGACGATGAATACTCCGAATAGGACTATTAATTGATTGCTCCGAATGAAATTAGCTCCGAATATCGATTATTCGCAAAATCGATTAAAAAATTATCAAATTTCGGAGTAGATGAATATCGTAGCAATATAATAACTGATGGAAAAATATAACCCTTATCACTAATTAATAAATATTAATTAATGTAATAAAATAGCGTTATAATTGATTACTGTCTATTAACGAATAATTATTACAATAAAGATCCCCGAAATGTATCCGACTTTTGATAAAATAGGTACATAAAGGTAACATAACTGGTGTGAGCCCTTAAATTTTTTTTTTGGAGGGAAAAGAATAGCGATTTCAATTTTCAGACGTAAAATCTTTTTTGCCTCTCCTTATTAGTGCTTATTATAACATTTAATTAGTTTTGTTAAAAAATATAGAGGTACGTTTCACTGATGATAGGATTCGTCATTAAACAGATGTGTTTATAAAGATATTCGGTATCCCATTCTCTAATACTGTCATTACAATTAGTCTCATATGAAATCAAACAAAAATATGATTTAATATCATTGCATTGTTCAAAGGTGGGCAACGAAATTAATTCAGTCCAGTTTGGATTTGACCGCAATCTGGAGAGACTTGAGGGGCTTTGTCTCCTAAAATTCTGCTATAGAATATACCGAAAATGAATTAATTTGTATTACTTGTTGTATAGAAATATTTTTTAGATTAGGTAAAAAAATATGTAATTAGAGTTCCCAAATATTTTGTTGCAATACTCCTATGCTCTAGTCAAATTAAGTAAACACAAGGCAGTAATAAGTTAACAGTGGACAATAGTTTATGATTTATCATAAACTTACAAAAATCTTTTGCTAAGATAATTAGTTTTAAACTTAACTAACTTGATTAAAAATATGCAGTCAATTCATTAAATAATGGTTCAGTTTTTTTTCATTTGCATTATGATTATTTGAAGTTTTGTCAAATATAGCGTGGGTGCTTTGTGCCATATTTTTCGTATATTGAGCGCCCGATGCTTTTATCACAATAATACTAGTATTTTTTGTTCATAATTATTTTAAACTTATTTTAAAAATTATTTTTAACTTTTTAGTTCGATGTGCTTTAAAAGCGTGTTTTTTTAGTTTTTTTAAACTATATTTATTAACACGCTTATATTAGTTTCACTTGTATGTATGAATGTATGTTTGTATGTATGTAACTCTCCAAACGCCACGCGTTATCGCATATTCCGTCGTCTAGACTAGACTGTCATAACGCATTCACCCCACCCCACGACTCGCTCATCACACGACGGCAACACTATTCCTCTGTATAAATTTATTTTCGGTTATCGTACCCGTGTGCTTGTCATCAATATTATATATATATAAACAAATTTTTATTTTGACTGACCAATACTATCCGCGTGCCATACGGCTTACGTTTATATTCCTACCGCCGTTTATACCTCAGGTATAACATTAGTCCACCCCCCCGCCCACAAAACACAGCTATACCTAGTGCCAAACCCAACCGGAATCGAACCCTGATTTCCCGTTACCAGTTACAGCCATGATATTGATAGTAACTACTATCACAACATGAAACTAAAAAGTGAAAAATAAATATAGTTTAAAAAAACTAAAAAAACACGCTTTTAAAGCACATCGAACTAAAAAGTTAAAAATAATTTTTAAAATAAGTTTAAAATAATTATGAACAAAAAATACTAGTATTATTGTGATAAAAGTTAAAAATAATTTTTTAAATAATTATTTTTAACTTTTTAGTTTGATGTGCTTTAAAAGCGTGTTTTTTTAAACTATATTTATTTTTGTAATATTTTAAAACATATTTGTTACGAATATGAGTCGACAGTATATATTGTATTAAAGGGCGGCAGAGCGGAGCAACCGTCCTTTAAGTAGCTGATTTTTTAGTAATCGACAAAAATCAGATATTCTTTCTCTGAAAAATTAATTAATAGCTAAAAAAATAATGGTCATCATGAAAAATTTGAGTATGAATTTAATAATTTATTTACGCGTGGTGCAATGTATTTGTATGTGATTTGTTGTGATATTTAAGACTCTAATATATGATAAGAAAT